AAGGGGGTAAGGCAGCCGGGATTGATGGGATAAAGATAGAAATGTTAAAAGCAGGTGGGGATATAGTTTTGGAGTGGTTGGTGCAATTATTTAATAAATGTATGGAAGAGGGTAAGGTACCTAGGGATTGGCAAAGAGCATGCATAGTTCCTTTGTATAAAGGCAAAGGAGACAAAAGAGAGTGCAAAAATTATAGGGGGAGAAGTCTGTTGAGTATACCTGGTAAAATGTATGGTAGAGTTATTATTGAAAGAATTAAGAGTAAGACGGAGAATAGGATAGCAGATGAACAAGGAGGCTTTAGGAAAGGTAGGGGGTGTGTGGACCAGGTGTTTACAGTGAAACATATAAGTGAACAGTATTTAGATAAGGCTAAAGAAGTCTTTGTGGCATTTATGGATTTGGAAAAGGCGTATGACAGGGTGGATAGGGGGGCAATGTGGCAGATGTTGCAGGTGTATGGTGTAGGAGGTAGGTTACTGAAAGCAGTGAAGAGTTTTTACGAGGATAGTGAGGCTCAAGTTAGAGTATGTAGGGAAGAGGGAAATTATTTCCCAGTAAAAGTAGGCCTTAGACAATGATGTGTGATGTCACAGTGGTTGTTTAATATATTTATAGATGGGGTTGTAAGAGAAGTAAATGCGAGGGTCTTGGCAAGAGGCGTGGAGTTAAAAGATAAAGAATCACACATAAAGTGGGAGTTTGTCACAGTTGCTCTTTGCTGATGACACTATGCTCTTGGGAGATTCTGAAGAGAAGTTGCAGAGATTGGTGGATGAATTTGGTAGGGTGTGCAAAAGAAGAAAATTAAAAGTGAATACAGGAAAGAGCAAGGTTATGAGGATAACAAAAAGATTTGGTGATGAAAGATTGGATATCAGATTGGGAGGGAGAGAGTATGGAGGAGGTGAATGTATTCAGATATTTGGGAGTGGACGTGTCAGCAGATGGGTCTATGAAAGATGAGGTGAATCATAGAATTGATGAGAGGAAAAGGGTGAGTGGTGCACTTAGGAGTCTGTGGAGACAATGAACTTTGTCCTTGGAGGCAAAGAGGGGAATGTATGAGAGTATAGTTTTACCAACGCTCTTATATGGGTGTGAAGCATGGGTGATGAATGTTGCAGCGAGGAGAAGGCTGGAGGCAGTGGAGATGTCATGTCTGAGGGCAATGCGTGGTGTGAATATAAATGAAGAGAATTCGTAGTTTGGAAGTTAGGAGGTGTGGGTTTACCAAAACTGTTGTCCAGAGGGCTGAGGAAGGGTTGTTGAGGTGGTTCGGACATGTAGAGAGAATGGAGCAAAACAGAGTGACTTCAAGAGTGTATCAGTCTGTAGTGGAAGGAAGGCGGGGTAGGGGTCGGCCTAGGAAAGGTTGGAGGGAGGGGGTAAAGGAGGTTTTGTGTGCGAGGGGCTTGGACTTCCAGCAGGCATGCGTGAGCGTGTTTGATAGGAGTGAATGGAGACAAATGGTTTTTAATACTTGACGTGCTGTTGGAGTGTGAGCAAAGTAACATTTATGAAAGGGTTCAGGGAAACCGGCAGGCCGGACTTGAGTCCTGAAGATGGGAAGTACAGTGCCTGCACTCTGAAGGAGGGGTGTTAATGTTGCAGTTTAAAAACTGTAGTGTAAAGCACCCTTCTGGCAAGACAGTGGAGTGAATGATGGTTAAAGTTTTTTTTTCGGGCCACCCTGCCTTGGTGGGAATCGGCCAGTGTGATAATAATAATAATAATAATAATAAAAATAATTATTAAATGTATATAAGAGATCTGTGCTTAAAGTCAATGTAAAAAGACATTCTTAAGATATCATCCAGAAACAAAGCAGCAGGAAAAGTGACTAGAACAACTAAAAAATGTAATTCCACTAAAGAACCTCATTTGGTTTTCCTCCGAACTTTGATCCAAAGGTGAAGAGAAAATTTCAACACAGTATATTAGAATGATATTTAAATTTGATGCATACATAAATGTAACATTAACATTTTCCTATATGCTGTATATATATCATTAATAAAATAAAGAATACTTCTTCATAATTACTGACCTACTTATACATTATGACATGAAAGTACCATTTTATTTAAGTACAAATGATATGGTAGCATTATTTAGGAATGAACAGTCACTTGTACTTATAGAAAAGAATGACATTATGCAGGGAAATCTTTAATGTAAAATGTTTCACCCATGAAAGGGCTTTATTAAGTAAGTGCACTTGATCAAGTCCTTTCATGGGTGAAAAAGTTATACGTACATTAAAGGTTTTCCTGCATATTATCTTAGTCCGCCCACTTGTCGGCTTGTTGCCTATACTGTACCAACATACTTGTACTTTTAGACGGCATCACAACTACATTCTTACAAATGTATAATGTTTTTCTGGTTTCAGGCTCAAAATATAAAAAAAATATAAAAATAAATTTGTAATTCAGTTAAACAAAAACAATAATACAGTATTAGAGGTCCCCAACTAACAAAAATGTTACATTGTTTCAATTTACAAAATTTACATTCCTGATGTTTAAACATACAAATGAGTTACATTCCTGGTGTTTTAACTTATGAATGAGATACTTTCTTAGTAATAATGTTGGAAGGATTACTGACAATATGTTAGACAAAAGGACACATGCAATGCAACATTTTTATTGTGGCAACGTTTTGCTCTGCAGGAGCTTTGTCATAGCTCCTGGAGAGTGAAACATTGCCACAGTAAAAATGCTGCATTAGTTGCATTTATGTTCCTTTTACTTTCTTAGTGTTTCACCTTATGAGATACACTCCTACTCTTTCAACTTACAATTGAGTTATAATCCTGGCATCTCAACTTACAAACAAGTTAACCCTTTGAGGGTCGACAGGCCCTCTACGAATCTCGTTCTCAGGGTCGGCCAAATTTTAAAAAAAAAAAAATTATTTTCTCTTATGAAAAGATAGAGAATCTTTTCCTGATCATAACGACACCAAAAGTTTGAAATTTGATAGAAAACTTACGGAATTATGCTCTCACAAAGTTAGCGGTCTCGGCGATGTTTACACATCGGCGATTTTGCCCACTTTGAGCCCCATTTTCGGCCAATTTCACTGTACTAGTCGACAAAAAAAATGAATATGTCGCTAGAACTCCATTTTTTCTATCGAATGGGTGCAAGAAACCACCCATTTATAAATTCAACTATCCAGTACAGTGGTCAGAATTTAGCAATTTTGCCAATTTCACACAAATTTCAAAAGATGCCAATTTTCGAATAGTGTCCAGAATAAACAAGAAAGACATTCCTGGCACTAAAATGACATTTCCTCTAGTCATTAGTCACGTCTCAAGTACCCTCTTATATTCTTTTGCTTTCCACTTTGAATTTTTATTCTCACAAAAAATATAAGATTTACTGTTATGCAGACTACTGCATTAGTGTAAAAAATGGTATAAATATTATTGGTGCACTTGTGAAAGAATATTAGACTCACCAGTTGACGTGTATTGCACGCTTGGCACGATTTGTTTACTTTTGAAGTTTGGTAAAAATCGAACATTTCTGCTACTTTGAGCTCAATTTCAAGGCACCTTTCATTGTAAAACCAGTCAAAATCATCTCAAATTCTGTAAAATGTCTTCCATTCTATAAAATGAGACCAAGAAAACTAGAATACAACAATAAATACCATACGAAAATACACTGCAAAGTCGCTGATTTATTAAAAAAAAATGGTCAAAGTTTTTTTTTTCTCATTATACACTGTGTGCTGCAGGATTTTTTTTAGACTGTGCACACTGACCACATAGACCCATTCTTTCATATGAAGGCCTACCAGCTTTCTCCCACTAGATTTGAGGCCGCTAGAATTTATGAGTACTAGTACGTCAAAAACCCCTACGCGTAAGACGTACTAGTACGACCAAAACCCTCAAAGGGTTAAATTCCAGGCATTTCAATTTACAAACTAATTACATTCTTGGTGTTTCACTTTACTAACCCTTTATTTTTATAGAAAAGACGGTTGTTTCACACATATTCATATTATGTATTGACAGTTGTAAAAATTAAATTAGTGCTTCCAAGTATCCCATTCATAAGTGTAATGTGTTTAACTTGGAGCATCTGTCAGTATGGGACCACCTGTACATGAAATTGTAGCAAATTGTTTATGTAGAGTATGTATATATATATATATATATATATATATATATTATATATATTATATATATAAATATATATATATATTATATATATAATATAATATATATACACTACATATTTTATTAGCATTCTATACATATTAGTTTTTTACAAAAATGTATCCTGGCAAAAAAAAAAAAAAGCAGTCACACCTAGTGCTTCAAATAAGGCAAATGATGGAAATGTGATGAGGTTATCAAACTCTGCATTTGGAAGCAGCAGCATTAAATGTGCAGACAACAAAATATACTCATGGCACAAAGCACTCTTGGCCACTCAGCTGATGATGCAAATGACTGATGACCACTCAAATGATGGCACAAACGACTGTTGGCCACTCAAATGATGGCACAAATGACTGGTGGCCACTCAACTGATGACACAAACAACTCTTGGCCATTCCACTGATGGCACAAATGACTGTTGGCCACTCAACTGACAGCACAAATGACTATTGGCCACTCAACTGATGGCACAAAGCACTGTTGACCACTCAACTGATCGCACACAGCACTGATAGCCACTCAACTGATGGCACACAGCACTGATAGCCACTCAACTGATGGCACACAGCACTGTTAGCCACTCAACTAATGGTACACAGTACTGCAGGCCACTCAACTGATGGCACAACATACAGCTGACCACTCAACTGATGACACGAAGCACTGTTGGCCACTCAACTGATGACACGAAGCACTGTTGGCCACTCAACTGATGACATGAAGCACTGTTGGCCACTCAACTGATGACACAAAGCACTGTTGGCCACTCAACTGATGACACACAGCAGTCGGAGAAAATGCAAAAAATAACTATACACTATATTATGATTTATTAAAATAGAATAAAATAATATGATGCATATATACATAAAAAATGAGAGGCATTCTGAAACAGCACATATGTGAGAATAAAGATAAATAATATAAAAGCTACATATATAATAAAGAAAAATATATTACTGTACTAGAAACCAGATGCAATGACAGTTTGTCAGCAAATTTATTTTACTTACTATAACTGTCATTTAAGTACAATATATGAATGTACAATCTCTTACTGTTCTATATTTATAAAATCATAACCCTTAGATCATATATTAGAAAACTGCAATGTACACTTTTGTCCTACAAACCTAAAGAACTAACTTGCATCCAGATATAGCATTTCTCCTTCAAGGATTAATATTTTTACTGAGACACTTCTAGTCCTGATACTCATGTTGTTTTTATGCATAATACTGTCCTGGGCAAAAAAATGACTTCTTAAGCACCCTATACATAAATGGCAAAAGTACCATCATTCTTTAATACATGTTTTTAATACATATAAAACGATATTTTTCATCATGTTGCCAATAATATTATATTTTATAGCATCTGCCAAATAATTCTAATTAAAGGAAACAATATTCTTTTCTGACATTTAGGCTGGAAAACTTTTTTTCTTTTGAATTATTGTGTGTGTATGTTTCTCGTCTACTAACAACACTGATTTTTGAAAATAAGTTTTACTCAAAGTAAAACATATTCAAATATTTAGTTTTGTACTTGACATGAAGCAAATCTGTACATTATTGCCATTTATTTGTGTATACAACTGGCTATACAACTTGCACAGTGTGACAACTCTGGATCAATGATTCTAAATACTCTTGCAGTTCAAGTAATATATACTAGTATACCACCAAATTTAGTACCTGATATTTCTTCCTATGACACATTAAATTGCCAAAATAAATATATAAAAAACAGTAAAATCATTTATTGACATTTGAAGGTATTTTTCAGGCCTAATTTAACTTTCATTATAATGGTCTACAGTACCATGGCACATATATCTGTAAATCAGTTTAGTGAAGCCCCCTAAAATACCCACTCTCAAAGCAAGATAGTTTACAGTTTCAATCACCATTTCTACCTCACTAGTATGAGATCTATCATGCATCCTCAATTTTTACTCCAATCTTTTTGAGTTCAGAGGAATATTTTCACTTTCAAAAATTGTTACCTGTAGTCTTACTCTCAGTCACACAATACTACATATTCTTACTCAAATGACAAAAAAAAAAAAAAAAAAAAAAAAAAAAAAAAAAAAAAAAAAAAAATGACGGTCTAAATGCTTCTCAGATTCAATTACTGTATCAAATGATCTTACAAGAGTTTATCATACCAACAGGAACACATGCAGGCAGTGACAATCTACATATTCATATACTATTTTATACCATTCATAAATCTTGCACAATATTCTCACACAACAGTAAGATTAACACTCATTTCATACATCTGAAAATAACCTCTGCTCTCACTAAGGAATACGAGGTTCCACACTCACACGGACTGTAAACCCGACACAGTGGGTTTCAGGTAATCAGCACCTGCCATCTAGCAGGAGAAATATGTTGTCCAGGTTATAAGGAAGACCCAGAATCCTAAAACAGATCATGTCAGTGCCTGATGTGTGAGTGCCTCTAGTGGCCATATCGGATTCCATAAAGGCAGATGTCATTATGCATAATACTCACACATTTTTTCAAGTAAGAATTACATCATTTATAAATGTTTAACACTTCACTTTTAAACTTGAGCATACGCATCTACAAGCTTCCGCAATCTTTCAATTTCAACTTCCATACATGCTCGCTTCTTACGCTCCTCATCTAATTCGTTCATGAGTAACTGCATTCGTCGAGCTTGTTCCTTTCGTTGTTCCTCTAGACGATCTTCCAATGCTTTCACCTGTAAATGATGCAAAGATAAAATGTAATAATTTTAGAAGTTGCCTTGCAATGTTATATTTTAAATTTATAAGAACATAAGAAAGAAGAAACACTGCAAGAGGCCTACTGACCCATGCGGAGCAGGTCCATGTCCTCCCCCCGGATTAGACCAATGACCCACCCCCCGGATTATCCCAATGACCCACCCAGTCTGGTCATCCCCACTCAAGGATGGAGCACTGTACCAGACCTTGCAGCACAAGCTAGTAAGGTCCAACTTACACCCACTCATGTATTTATCTAACCTATTTTTTAAACTACACAACGTTTTAGCCTCAATAACTGTACTCAGGAGCTTGTTCCACTCATCTACAACTCTATTACCAAACCAGTACTTTCCTATATCCTTCCTGAATCTGAATTTTTCCAACTTGAAACCATTGCTGCAAGTCCTGTCTTGGCTGGAAATTTTCAGCACACTATTTACATCCCCTTTATTTATTCCTGTGCCTTTCGAGAGAGTGCAGATTCAGGGCCTTCAGTCTATCCTCATAGGGAAGATTTCTGATACATGGGATCATCTTTGTCATCCTCCTTTGTACGTTTTCCAGAGCATTTATATCCATTCTGTAATACGGTGACCAGAACTGAGCAGCATAATCTAAATGAGGCCTAACCAAGGATATACAGTGGACCCCCGCTTAACGATCACCTCCAAATGCGACAAATTATGTAAGTGTATTTATGTAAGTGCGTTTGTACGTGTATGTTTGGGGGTCTGAAATGGACTAATCTACTTCACAATATTCCTTATGGGAAAAAATTCGGTCAGTACTGGCACCTGAACATACTACTGGAATGAAAAAAGTTCGTTAACTGGGGGTCCACTGTATAGAGTTGAACAACCTGAGGACTTCTATTATTTATACTTCTAGATATGAAGCCAAGAATTCTGTAAGCTTTATTGCGAACACTAATGCACTGTTGTCTTGGTTTTAGGTTACTGCTAACCAGAACTCCTAAATCCTTTTCGCAATAAGTAGTATTAAGATCTACATTATTTAGTTTATATGTGGCATGGTTATTTAACTGTCCAACATTTAGAACTTTGCATATGTCAATATTAAACTGCATCTGCCACTTCTCTGACCATTGCGTCAGTCTATTCAAATCATCCTGGAGTGCTCTAATGTCCTCATTAGAATGAATTGAACGGCCTATTTTGATGTCATCAGCAAATTTGCTTATGTCGCTATTTATTCCCTCATCTATGTCGTTTATGTAAATTGTGAACAACAACGGGCCCAACACTGACCCCTGAGGAACACCACTTGTGACGTGCCCCCATTCTGATTTCTCCCGATTTATGCAAACACTCTGCTGTCTATTTGTCAGCCATGCCTCTACCCAGGAAAAAATTTCTCCTCCTATTCCATGTGCCCTAAGTTTCCTCAATAGCCTCTGGTGTGAAACTCTATCAAAAGCCTTACTGAAGTCCATATACACAATATCATATTCATTACCATGATCTACCTCCTCAAACACCTTAGTGAAAAAAGTTAGTAAATTCGTAAGACAGGAATGCCCCTTTGTAAAACCATGTTGAGAATCATTAATCAATCTGTGCCTGTCAAGATGGATACGAATTGCTTCAGTAATTATTAATTCCATAAATTTTCCCACTATGGAGGCGAGGCTTATTGGTCTATAGTTCGAAGCCAAGGACCTGTCACCTGCCTTGTAAATAGGTATTACATTTGCCATTTTCCACTTACCAAGCACTATGCCAGTTTGTAGTGATATGTTAAAAAGATTAGCCAAAGGTATGCTAAGCTCCTCTTTACATTCCTTTAACACCCTTGCAAACAGTTCATCAGGACCTGGGGATTTGTTAGGTTTTAGTTTCTCTATTTGTCTGAGGACCATGTCACTAGTTACCGCAATCGTACATAGTTTATTATCATCCTGTTCTACGTAATCTTTTAAATTTTCAGGAATATCGCTAGTATTTTCCTGGGTGAAAACTGAGAGGAAGTAGGTATTTAGAATTTCACACATATCCTTATCACTGTCAGTGATCTGACCAGAGTTACTCTTAAGTGGGCCAATCTTGTCCCTAATCTTACTTCTGCATACCTGAAAGAACCCTTTTGGGTTAGTCTTTGAATCCCTTGTGACCTTAGCCTCATAATCTCTTTTTGCTTTTCTTATTCCTTTCTTTATTTCTCTCTTTAATTGAATATATTGATTTCTTAACTGCCCATCCCCTCTTTTGATTTGCCTATATATGCCTCTCTTTTGACCAATGAGATGTTTTAATCTATTGTTCATCCATTTGGGATCATTTTTGTTAGATCTAATTTCCCTACTTGGAACAAAAGTTGTCTGGGCAGCTAGAACTATGCTCTGAAAAACGTCATATTGGCAACCAAGATCACCTACCTGACCCATAGTTAGGACATCCCAATTTAGCCCACCCAAGTAATTTTTCAGTCCCATGAAGTCGGCCAAGCGAAAATCTGGGACAGAGATTTGATTGCAGTTATCTGGGTAATTCCATGATATATTGAAACTAAGTGATTTGTGATCACTTTCCCCATGCTCATCATTAACCTCAAGATTATTAATTAGTGAATCTTTGTTGGCAAGAACCAAGTCAAGCAGATTGTTTCCTCTAGTTGGTTCTGTCACAACCTGTTCTAAAAAGCAGTCCTGAACTGTAGCAAGAAAGTCACTAGACTCAAGATTTCCTGTCATATTGTTCCAATCAATTTGTCTAAAGTTAAAATCTCCCATTATCACAACATTTTCATATCTAGATGCCTTATGAATTTCGTCCCATAACAGCTTACTGCACTCCCTATCAAGGTTTGGGGGCCTATAAATCACACCCAAAATTAATTTGTCACGACCCTCGAGAAACTGAAGGCAAATCGATTCTGTGTTCGATGTTTCTAATCTTATATCATGTCTAAGACAACAATTTAAATTTTCTCTGACATACATCGCCACACCACCACCCTTCCTGTTGACCCTATCAGTGTGGTATAGTTTATAACCCTGTATGTTGCATTCAGAAGGCATTTCTCTATCTTTCAGGTTGAACCAGGTCTCTGTTATACCAATATCTATATTACCTACACTTGCAAGTAATTTTAGCTCATCTATCTTATTTCTTAGACTCCTACTATTTGTACAGTAAACCTTAAGGGAGCTAGTCACTCGTTGCCCTCTACTATCTCTCTTTGTTTGTTGATCAATTGATTTACCATTACTAGCAACTTTATTCTGAATAGTGTCTTTTAAACATATCCCTGAGGTATCCTGGTAATAACTGCTGGTTTTAACTCTAATGCTGCAGCCTGAGTGTTTCCCACAAACACCCATACCTCTATAATCTATCGGTTTAAATTCCTAGACAAGTCATCAATTACCCTCTCAATTGAATTGGCTAATGCAACCACTCTATCCCCAGAGAGATGAACCTCATCCGTTGCATACATATCACGTTTACCAAAGAAAAGGTCCCAGTTATCAATGAATGGGATTGCAAGTTCCTTGCAGTACCTGCCTAGCCAGCAATATTTATACCCAAATTGCCTAGACATCCATTCATTGCCCACTCCCTTTCTAGGCAAGATGCTACATATGACTGGGATCCCTCCCTTAGACCTAACTACTTCTATGACTGACCTGTACTTATCCAGCAACTCCTCTCTCCTGCTCTTCCCAATGTCATTACCCCCAGCACCTAAGACAGATAATGGGCTTGTTCCATTACCTGCCCTATTTATTATCCAACCTGTGACTATGTCGCCAACACCAGCTCCAGGAAGACACACTCTATGTCTGACCTTTCTGTCTCTCTTACAAAATGCACAGTCCATATATCTTACCTGAGAATTGCCTACTATTAAAATATTCTTACCTTGATTAGCAGGGGAATCAGTGGTACCTTCAACCTCACTAACCACTGAAGTACACTCATCTTGGAGAACAGAGAATCGATTTCCTACCTTCACATCTTCTCTATTAACTCTCATCTTCCTTCTTCCTGAACTGTGAACCACTTGCCATTGAAAGTGGCTGCCACTATCACTGCTGGTGACTATTCCTACCTTACCAGCTAAATCCTTCTCACACTCGCTCCCAAACTCATCTATGCGAAGCTTCAGCTTCCTATTTTCCTCCTGAAAAAGTAGAATCTCCTTCTTCAACACATGAACCTGGGATTCTAAAGCACTACAAGCCATGGTATGGGTAACAGCAAACGCTAACTCCCAAGAGCTTAGCGGTATGACCGCACGTGACCACTGACCTCAGCATACTGATACTAACATGCAAGTGTAAATATAACAATGTGCTCTTTCATATTCATGTATTTCATGATGTATATGAAGATCTCCATAAAGGATAATAAATATAATAAGCAAAATAATACAGAAAATATTCTGCAAACAGAAAAATTAAATCTTTAATATTACACATGGCTATAAAAGGCAGCAAGAAAAAATACCACTCAAATCATGCTGAATAATAAACATTACGTAAAAGATACTTCTTCTTCTTTCAACAAACCGGCCGTATCCCACCGAAGCAGGTGGCCCAAAAAGAAAAACAAAAGTTTCTCTTTTTAAGTTTAGTAATTTATACAGGAGAAGGGGTTACTAACCCCTTGCTCCACATATTTTAGTAGCCTCATACGACATGCATGGCTTACGGAGGAAAAATTCTGTTCCACTTCCCCATGAAGACTAAAAGATACATGTGAAGAAATTTTGTATCTTAAAAGCATTTTTTTTATTATGAAAAACAAATCAGCTCTCCTTGCACTGTATCATTCACTCATCTACCCTTATCTCACATATGGAATTTGTGCATGGGGATCAACAACATCAAATCACCTAAGGCCTCTAATAACCCAGCAAAAGGCTGCAACTAGAATGATGATAAATTCCCACTCGCGACAGCATACTCCGCCTCTATTCAAAAGTCTAAATTTGCTCACCAAAAAGAACATCCACACTTATTCATGTGCCTACTACATACATAGAACAATACATGCAAACATAAACCCTCCATTCAAACTTCTCCTCACCAACCTTAACAGGACACACAACCGTAACACAAGGCACAGATCTCTTTTTGATGTACCCCGGGTCCACATCACACTGTGTACGAACTCTATGCACATAAACGGCCCCAAAATCTGGAATTCATTACCAGAACATACTAAAGTAACCTAGGCCTGAAAATCAATTTCAGACTCTTCTAAAAAACCACTTACTCGCTCAGGACTAAATAATCATCACTCAATATTTAACATCACCAATAATTCTCCCAATTACTTAAATCTTAAAACTTCAAGACAACATACAGTTAATTGATCATCTTGTTTGTTATACACTGTAATGCAACAAATTTATACAACTATAATGCTTCAATATTGAAATGTTCAAATTTCATTGTTTCAAATACTCAATTGTACTTCATATTGTAAATTTTTTATGGTAATTTTTACCAGTGAACCTTTCACTGCTTGTTAATTTTAAGCCTGCTCATAATGCTCTGCATACAAGGGGCTTTTGGCATGTACACCCAACTACTATAATTCTTTGTACAACTATGTATCATGTCCAAATAAACTATATGAATATATGAAGCATAACATAGGCAAAGTTGTTTACTTGCTAAAGAATGCCAGCATAAAAATTAAAAAAAAAAAAAATGGTTGAATAATAATAAAAGAGAAAGATATGTGAATTCTATGGTGTTTAAGAAAGGACTAAATAAAAAGGCAAGCATGGAAAGAGCAGAAAAACAAAAGACACTGGAGGGAATCTCGGTTTATAAGCCAGGTGATGCAAAGTGTGTGAGCAGGTAGCTGGTTTAGCTTGGTAAATACCATTATCATGATGAATCAGAGATGTTACTTGTGGGGTACCTAAATACTTTGTTGATGCCATGGGCCAACCTACTCCTATGTCCTATGTAAGCCAGTTAATGTGCTCTCCAAGAATGTCATAAAAAATATATAAAATTCCACACACACACTATATTTACCTTTGGAAGTAACTCTCTATATAAAACATTAATTCTTTCTTCTAAATGAACTGAACTGTCTGATAATGATATCCTTTTATTATCTTTGGTATCTATGGTAGAGGAAGGTTTCTTGTTTTCTGGAGAAATGTTTGATATTCTTGCATCAGTATGAGTTGGCAATCTTTTGTTTTCCATGGATGTGACTGCTGAGGGTGTGGCAGGCAGAGGTTTATTTTTAGAAGTGGAAAACTGGGTTACAACAGGTTTATGTTCATAATCTGGTGTTGGCAAATGAGAAGCATCTGATGTCTTAGTTCTAGTGGTGGTTACTGGAGTATCAGGTATGTTTGAAGGTTTCACAGGTTTAGATACTGGCTTATCTTCTGGTTTGTGAGGTAACATTGCTGGCTTGGATGACACTACAGGTGCTGGGGCAGGTGTACTCTCCACTTCTGTAAAGATAATCGTTTTAATCAGTATTTTTACACATGTATTTACAGAGTATAATTTCATGGCTTCATCTACATGATCTTGAAAGTAACCTTTGAATCTTCAATTTAAAAATCTAAAGTCTCATTTACACTTCATCAAAATTTTGGCTATCAGTATCTACTGTTATTAATTAAGAGGACAAACCATAAAACAAAATTATACATAAACTGAAATTTCACACTCCCCTGAATATAACAATGACATGAGAGAGATCATGTGTGACTCACTCTGACATAATGATACTAAGTCTTTGGGACGAAATTCGTAAGGCATCTACATACGAAAATGTTGTGCTAATGGGAGATTTCAACTATAGACAGATTGACTGGAGCAATTTGACAGGAAATTTAGAATCAGGTGACTTTCTTGATACGATCCAGGATTGTTTTTTAAAACAGTTTGTGACAGAGCCAACTAGGGGAAATAACCTCCTTGACTTGGTTCTTGCCAGTAGGGAAACACTAACTAATAATCTTGAGGTTAATGATGAGCTTGGGGAAAGTGATCACAAATCACTCAGTTTTAATATATCATGGAATTCCCCTAATAATGGCAATCAAGTCTCCGTCCCTGACTTTCGCTTGGCTGATTTCATAGGACTGAAAAATTACTTAGGTGGGCTGAACTGGAATGACCTGACTAAGGGTCAGGTAGGTGGTGATGGTTGCCGATATGATGCTTTCCAGGGCATAGTTCTAGCTGCTCAGTCAAATTATGTTCCAAATAGGGAAATCAGATCAAACAAAAATGATCCTAAATGGATGAACAATAGATTAAAATATCTGATTGGTCAAAAGAGAGGCATATATAGGCAAATCAAAAGAGGAGAGGGGCAATTGAGAAATCGATATATCAGTTAAAGAGAGAAATAAAAAATGGGAATTAGAAAAAAAAAGAGATTTATGAGGTTAAGTTGCAAGAGAACGAAGGACTAACCCAAAGGATTCTTTCAGGTATACAGAAGTAAGATCAGGACAAGATAGGCCCACTCAAAATTCTCGGGTCAGCTCACTGACAGTGATAAGGAAATGTGTAGAATTTTAACACAACTTCCTCTCAGTTTTACACAGGGGATACCAGCGATATTCAGTAATGATAAATTATTAAACAGGGGCGATAATAAACTGTGCACGATTAGGTCACAAGTGACTATGGTCTTAGGCAATAGATAAATTAAAACCAACAAATCCCCAGCCCTGATGAACTGTATGCAAGGTCAAAGCAATGTAAAGAGGAGCTAGCACACCTTTGGCTAATCTTTCAACATATCACTACAAACTTTGCATGGTGCCAGATAAGTGGAAAATGGCAAATGTGATACCTATTTTCAAAAAAGGTGACAGGGCCTTAGCTTCGAACTATAGACCAATAAGCCTAACCTCCAAGTGGGAAAATTTATGGAATCAATAATTGGCCCAGGCAGTTCATAGCCACCTGAAAAGCATAAATTAATCAACGAATCTCAGCATGGTTTTACAAAGGGGCGTTCCTGCCTTACGAATTTTTAAATTTTTTTACTAAGGTATTTGAGGAGGTAGATCATGGCAATGAATATGATATTGTGTAAAATGGACTTCAGTAAGGCTTTTGACAGGGTCCCACATCAGAGACTATTGAGGAAAATTAAAGCACATGGAATAGGAGGAGAAATTTTTTTCCTGGATAGAGGCATGGTTGTCAAATAGGCAGCAGAGAGTTTGCATAAATGGGGAGAAATCAGAGTGGGGAAGTGTCACGAGCGGTGTTCCACAGGGGTCAGTGTTGGGCCCCCTGCTGTTTCACAATCTAACATAAAACGCATTAAACCAATTCATTCTGACGAGGACATTCGAGCACTCCAGGAAGATTTGAATAGACTGATGCAGTGGTCGGAGAAGTGGCAGATGCAGTTTAATATAGACAAATGCAAAGTTCTAAATGTTGGACAGGACAATAACCATGCCACATATAAACTAAATAATGTAGATCTTAATATTACGGATTGCGAAAAAGATTTAGGAGTTCTGGTTAGCAGTAATCTGAAACCAAGACAACAGTGCATAAGTGTTCGCAATAAAGCTAATAGAATCCTTGGCTTCATATCAAGAAGCATAAATAATAGGAGTCCTCAGGTTGTTCTTCAACTCTATACATCCTTGGTTAGGCCTCATTTAGATTATGCTGCACAGTTTTGGTCACCGTATTACAGAATGGATATAAATTCTCTGGAAAATGTACAAAGGAGGATGACAAAGTTGATCCCATGTATCAGAAACCTTCCCTATGAGGATAGACTAAGGGCCCTGAAACTGCACTCTCTAGAAAGACGTAGAATTAGGGGGATATGATTGAGGTGTATAAATGGAAGACAGGAATAAATAAAGGGGATGTAAAGTGTGCTGAAAATATCTAGCCTAGACAGGACTCGCAGCAATGGTTTTAAGTTGGAAAAATTCAGATTCAGGAAGGATATAGGAAAGTACTGGTTTGGTAATAGAGTTGTGGATGAGTGGAACAAACTCCCAAGTACCGTTATAGAGGCCTGAACGTTGTGTAGCTTTAAAAATAGGTTGGATAAATACATGAGTAGATGTGGGTGGGTGTGAGTTAGACCTGATAGCTTGTGCTACCAGGTCGGTTGCCGTGTTCCTCCCTTAAGTCAATGTGACCTGACCTGACTAGGTTGGGTGCATTGGCTTAAGCCGGTAGGAGACTTGGACCTGCCTCGCATGGGCCAGTAGGCCTTCTGCAGTGTTCCTTCGTTCTTATGTTCTTATGTTCTAATAGTGATTTTATCATCATGCATAGAAAATAATATCTGTCATACTTAATGTTTTTTTTTATTAAAATGCAGAATATAATCAAAGCTTTGATTAAAACAAAACAAACATTTTATTTTTTTTTTTGTACAGTATAAAAATATAGTTTAGATATAGTAAAGCATTGTTAAGTACAAAAGAAAGCCACTAGCATCCATGTGCACTTCAACATATCCTATGTCAAGTATATTATATTTTCTATATATTAATATTAATACAAAACAAATTTAAATTTCCAATTTAAAACATTTTATCAAGTTTTATTAGAATTACTTCTATGTAAAACTATACATTTTTGTTAATATCATTACTGGTAAGATTACACTACTAGTTTCTAATATTTTTTTTTTTTTTTTAACAAGTCGGCTAGGAAGTGTTATGCATACTATAGGTTATACCCAACATACTTACACTTAACTGCATTCTCATAATTTATGTAGTTGTTGTATTATTATTACTATTATTATTATTATAATAATTATTACAGGTACAACGCCAATTTACCAGCAATGGATCATCCAGCACTTCTTTTAGTCCCAATAAAATTACAAAACCTAGGTAGTAGGTTGGAAGACAGCAACCACCCAGGGAGGTACTACCGTCCTGCGAAGTGAGTGTAAAACGAAAGCCTGTAATTGTTTTACGTGATGGTAGGATTGCTGGTGTCCTTTTTTCTGTCTCATAAACATGCAAGATTTCAGGTACGTCTTGCTACTTCTACTTACACTTAGGTCACACTACACATACATGTACAAGCATATATATAAACATCCCTTTGAGTTTTCTTCTATTTTCTTTCTAGTTCATGTTCTTGTTTATTTCCTCTTACCTCCATGGGGAAGTGGAACAGAATTCTTCCTCCGTAAGCCATGCGTGTTGTAAGAGGCGACTAAAATGCCGGGAGCAAGGGGCTAGTAACCTCTTCTCCTGTATATATTACTAAATGTAAAAGGAGAAACTTTCGTTTTTCCTTTTGGGCCACCCCGCCTCGGTGGGATACGGCCGGTGTGTTGAAAGAAGAATATTACTAAATGTAAAAGGAGAAACTTTCGTTTTTCCTTTTGGGCCACCCCACCTCAGTGGGATACGGCCGGTGTGCTTGAAAGAAAGAAAATTACAAATCTACTTTTTTTTTTTCTGCCAGAAGTTTCCCGAGCAGCCACAGATGGTGTTGTATGTGCAGTAAAGCCTCACATTAATGGACTTCACATTAACGGATTTCAGAAATTTCAGACAAAAATATTGACTGGACAAACTCTAATTATCAGATAAAAGCTACAAGTCATTAATTCTGTATTTTGTCTGTTGCGACAGTGCCCAATTGTCTTCAGAAATATCAGACCAAGCCTGGCTGACTGGCTAACTAACTGGCTGGCTGAAAGGTCACCAGATGATCTCACCTTCCTCCCTTCGTCTCTCCAGACATTCTGGCCCCCATTTCCTCAACATCTGATCACAGTTAGCTACCAGTTCCACCAATGTTCCTATGTTAATCAACTTTTAATTTCAGTTTATTACATTGAAATGCAAATCGTGATTGCATAGGAGAGAAAGGGTGGTTGCAGTGATGAAGTACTGCACAACATTTAAAACAGAAGTGATATCCCTTGCACCCAACCCCCTCAGGTCCACTTACAACCAACAATAACTCAACTAAAAACCAATATACCAATGATTGCCCAATCCAGTACCAGACAACACACTCCCCCACTCTTCAAAATTTTAAACTTGCTTAATACACACAGTATAAACTCATACTACTATGCTTACTAAATATATAGAAAAATCAGTTACAATATAAACCCTCCTCTGAAACTCTTTCTTGATAGCTGTAACAGGCATAACACAAGACACAAAAACCTTTTTGATATCCCCCTGTTAATGAGAGGCTTTACTGTACTGTTGTATTGTTTACACTGCAGTTGTTGCTGGTGATCCCTTGATTTTCTTTGTCTTAGCATATTTTGCTAACAATAAACCCTAGCTATAACTAGGGTTAATTGTTAGCAAAACTGCTGTCGACAAGGAACTTGTCAACAGCTATGACTATTGACAGGTTAATTAAGGTTATAACAATGTTCCTTTGTGACAGAACAAGAACTACTGAATTTTTATTTGATGAATGAAAAATTACACATGGAAAGATGAAAGCAAATAAAACAATTTCACTTGGATGAAATATTTAAAAAGAAAACCAAGAAGAATGAGTGTCACAGCGCAGGCCTTCACCTGAAAATCCTGTGGCTTCTATTTCAAGTACCCCTGATGTCCTCCCTGTAACATCACACATCCATTATGAAACAGTCAGCTATGAAACAGACAGTAAGCCTGCTTCACTTATATTAAGGCTTCATTTATACTAATGTTTAATTTTAGTTTCCAGCAGACTATGGTGGGTCAGATGTGTATAGCTGAATTATGTCGCCTCTGTTGGTCCGGCAAAATCAATATACACGTATCAGAAAAGCCTAGGAACCAAGGGTGCTGGAAAATTGGTGATGCACCTGCATTATTATTTTTTCCAATTTGTAACAGGAAAATGAAAAATAAGAATTTTAAATGTTTACTATTTGTTTGATTAAAACATCCAAAACTGATAAAAGCAATGGTTACTGCTCAATAATCCAACATAATAATTATGTAAATGAACAAGTATAAAACAACTGCACTAACCTGGGAGAAGTATACCTGACAACCTTTTCTTCTGTTTCTGATTCTGTCGTAGTTCTTGAAGCCACGGAACAGAATTGGTTGAGTCAGGTCTTGGCAGTGGTTCAGGACGGGATCGTAAATCAACTGTGGCTTTTGAACTAGAGGGTGAAACTGCAGGAACACCAAGGTTCCGAGGAAGTTCAGTCACACCAAGGTGACCATTGGCTTGTGGAGCAGAGTCCTAGAGGAACAAAAAAGTAATGGGTGACTTTTATGTATGTACATTTATATAACAGTCTAAACACTCCCTCAATCTAGGGCTACAAGCCTTCAAGTATCCATGCAGATAAATATACAGAGCTTGTTAAAGTTAGAAAATAAACAAATACCCACAAAACTACAATACAAAATTAGTGAAGCACAAAATAAGCAACTGTGCAACTACAGTGGACTCTCGCATACCGCTGGCATCACATAACATTAAATCCGCACACTGATACATTTTATTGCTAAAATTTTGCCTCACATACCGCTAAAAAACTCGCTCAACGCTATTCGTCCGAGACGCGTCTAATGCGCGGCCTGAGTCAGCCTCACATGTTCCGCTGGTGGCATTGTTTACCAGCCAGCCTCCGCGGTAACATCCAAGCATACAATCGGAACATTTCGTATTATTACAGAGTTTTTGGTGATTTCATCTGCAAAATAAGTGACCATGGGCCCCAAGAAAGCTTCTAGTGCCAACCCTACAGGAATAAGGGTGAGAATTACTATAGAGATGAAGAAAGAGATCATTGCTAAGTATGAAATTGGAGTACGTGTCTCTGAGCTGGCCAGGTTGTATAGTAAACCCCAATTAACCATCGCTACTATTGTGTCCAAGAAAACGGCAATCAAGGAAGCTGTTCTTGCCAAAGGTGCAACTGTGTTTTCGAAACAGAGATCGCAAGTGATAGAAGATGTTGAGAGACTCTTATTGGTGTGGATAAACGAAAAACAGATAGCAGGAGATAGCATCTCTCAAGCGATCATAAGTTAAAAGGCTAGGAAGTTGCATCAGGATTTAATTAGAAAAATGCCTGCTACTAGTGGTGATGTGAGTGAATTTAAGGCCAGCAATGGTTGGTTTGAGACATTTAAGAAGCGTAGTGGCATACATAGTGTGATAAGGCATGGTGAGGCTGCCAGTTCGGACCACAAAGCGGCTGAAAAATATGTGCAGGAATTCAAGGAGTACATAGACAGTGAAGGACTGAAACCTGAACAAGTGTATAATTGTGACGAAACAGGCCTGTATTGGAAGAAAATGCCAAGCAGGACCTACATTACTCAGGAGGAAAAGGCACTCCCAGGACGTAAGCCTATGAAAGACAGGCTTACTCTTCTCATGTGTTCCAATGCTAGTGGTGATTGCAAAGTGAAGCCTTTATTAGTGTATCACTCTGAAACTCCCAGAGCGTTCAGGCAAAAGAATATCCTCAAGGCTAATTTGTGTGTGCTGTGGAGGGCAAACAGTAAGGCATGGGTCACTAGGGACTTTTTCTATGACTGGTTACACCAAGCATTTGCCCCCAATGTGAAAAATTACCTAACTGAAAAGAAATTAGACCTTAAGTGCCTCCTGGTGTTAGACAATGCCCCTGGTCATCCTACAGACTTGGCAGAGCGACTTTGTGGGGACATGAGCTTCATTAAGGTCAAGTTTTTGCCTCCTAATACCACTCCTCTCCTGCAGCCCATGGACCAGCAGGTTATTGCAAACTTCAAAAAACTGTACACAAAAGCTCTGTTTGAAATGTGCTTTGTAGTGACCTCAGAAACTCAATTGACTCTAAGAGAGTTTTGGAGAGAGCACTTTAATATCCTCAATTATGTAAACCTTATAGGTAAGGCTTGGGAGGGAGTGACTAAGAGGACCTTGAACTCTGCTTGGAAGAAACTGTGGCCAGAATGTGTAGACCAAAGGGATTTTGAAGGGTTTGAGGCTAACCCTGGGAATCCTATGCCAGTTGAGGAATCCATTGTGGCATTGGGAAAGTCCTTGGGGTTGGAGGTTAGTGGGGATGATGTGGAAGAGTTGGTGGAGGAGGACAATGAAGAACTAACCACTGATGAGCTGCTAGATCATCTTCATCAGCATGAGGCCACACCTGAGGAAACTGCTTCGGAGGAGGGGAGAGAGAAATTGAAGAAGTTGCCTACTTCAAAGATTAAGGAAATCTGTGCAATGTGGCTTAAAGTGCAAACCTTTATGAATGAAAATCACCCTCAGACAGCTGTTGCAAGCCGTGCTGGTGACTATTACACTGACAATGTTGTGAACCACTTTAGGAAAGTCATAAAGGAACGAGAGGTACAGACCTCTATGGACAGATATGTTGTGCGACAGAAGTCCAGTGACTCTCAAGCTGGTCCTAGTGGCATTAAAAGAAGAAGGGAAGTAACCCCAGAAAAGGACTTGACACCTCAAGTCCTAATGGAAGGGGATTCCCCTTCTAAACACTAAGACCATCAACACTCTCCCCTCCTCCCATCCCATCAATCATCACCAGATCTTCAATAAAGGTAAGTGTCATGTAACTGTGCATGTCTTCTTCAGTCTGTGTGTATTAAAATTAATATTTCATGTGGTAAAATTTTTTTTTTTTTCATACTTTTGGGTGTCAGGAACGGATTAATTTTATTTCCATTATTTCTTATGGGGAAAATTCATTTGCAGAACCCCCCGGTCCTTGAGTTCTCTAACAGTAAAAAGGAAAAAGGAAGGAATGACGACACTCTGGATTCCCTAATCCAGCTTTGGCAACAAGTGTTGGATATGGACGAAAAAGGAGACCAGACAGAAAAACATCAAACAGACAAGCATATAATCCAACCAGTAGGTGAAAAAGATGTGAACTATAGACCTAGCTCCGGAGGACAAGACGGCACCAGAAGACACAACACAGTTGACCAACTTGGAATCCAAAGCCAAATCTTTGAAAATATTAGCAGACAGAGTTACCTTACTTGAGTCCGGGAGACCCAAGGGAAACCAGAGAAAACCGAACAATACGAAAGGAAAACCTAGGAATACGATTAACAACAACAACAACAACAACAAAAACAATAACAACGAGAATAATAATAAGAAATATTTCTATAATAACCAAACTAACAAACCCTACTATAAACCGAAACCACAATCTAATAACTATGGCAATGGTAATTTTTTCGGGAACCAGAAGGGGTTCTGGAAGGGAGGAGGTGTCTTCAGGAACAGGTTCGATGTGAACCACAACTGGAGAGACCAGCAGCAGCCCTACCAGAACTGGAGAGACTGGTGATTTCGGAAGTGGAGCTGATGGAGGAAGAGAGAAGAGTCCTGAGCAAGGGACTTTTCCTTCATACCAGGGCCACCATGCAGAACCAGAATGGAGAAGAACACAGATGACACCTGCAGACAACTGGAAGTCCTAATGAATAAATGCTTTGACCAAGCCTTCCAACATGATATGGAAGGAAAACCACGCAGGTACAAATCAAAGGAACCACCTTCGACGACACAAAAATATATGAGAGCACTGAGACCAACGACATAACCTGCAAGGAAACTACCAGGACTCAGATCGAAGATAAATGAGATAGAAACCAGGGTGAAAAAACGTAAACCAAAACACTACAGACCTAATCTACGAAAAAAAGAAAGAATCAGCCTTAGGAATCTTAAAACAAGATGGGACTTAGTAATTTCCAAAGCCAACAAGGGCTCGGAGATAGTTGTTTTTAAAGCAGAAAATTATAGAAAAGCAGGCCTCAAACATGTAGGGAATGAGAAAACCTACCAGAAAATTATTCACAAAAATTAAGGATAGAAGCAACAACCTAGTCCTCAGACTGTATCATAACGACGGCCCCAAAGGATTCATGAACGTGGCACTGAGGGACTCTCTACTCTCATTCCAATCGAAGATTTCTAATATGTATTTTCTTCCATAGACACACAAGAGCCAGGAAGAGGAACTGGGAACATTCAAGACTAGACCGGTCCTCTCTGGCTGTGCGGCGCCGACCAGGCCCATGGATAAGATGATGACTGCAGTCCTGATGCCTCTCTTGAAGCTTCTTCCTGACAGGCCGAAGGATACGATTCATTTTCTACAGATCCTAGAGGAAATGAGACCAAGAGTGGGACGGGCAGCGGAAAACCTATGGATGGTCTCACTGGATATTGAATCCCTCTACCTGTCAATCCCACAACGAGAAGCAGCGAAGACAGTTGTAGATTTCTATGAACGAAACTTGGACGCCATCAGAGTAGAACTTACAGGGCTGGGAATAAGGAAACCCCCGTCCAGAGACCTAGTAGAAGACTCCTTAATCCATATAATGCAGGATATCATACTCAAGTTTGACAATATTGTATACAGACAAATGACAGGCACAGCGATAGGAGTGTCTGTCAGTGTGGCTGTCGCAGAAATATTTGTTCACTGCAAACTAGAACTTAACAGACTAGAGACAGCCCCACACTTAATTCTATGCAAAAGGTATATGGATGACATATTCTGCTTAATAGAAGGAGGAAGTGATACTATACAACAATTGGTAGACTGGGCGAACGAAGCATACCAATCACTTCGTTTCACTTCTGAATCAAATAACTGCGAACTTCCCTTTCTTGACACAGTGGTTTACTTGAATGCAGGCAGACATCTTCACACCAGGACGTACTACAAACCAGGGAATGCACACCAATATCTCCACTGGACGTCCTCCCACCCGAAAAGCCTCAAGCAATCCCTTCCCTTCTCTCTGGCACTGAGGGTGAAACGTATCTGCAGTGAGAGCAGAGAATTCCAGCATTTGCTCGCAGAGATGTGGGACTTTTTTAGGAAGAGGGACTACCCAGAATCCTGCCTGACATAAGTGGAGGAGAAACTGGGAAAACTCGACAGACTGCAGCTGCTACAACCGAAGATAAGGAAAGAAGATGACAGACGAATACTGATGACACTCTTCAGCGCAGACTGGGCTAAGGACTTGAAGATGGAACTACACAGTGTAGGCGAAACGTTTCGGAATAAAGTTGCCTAACTGTTGCCTATGTGTCTTACTACCAACCTGTCGGTATTGTATACCATTTTGATGTTCATTTTGTCAGACACTGCAACACATGGCCTCTTGGTACAGAAAACGCCTTAGACAACCCTTTCAAGTGAGAACTGTTGGATCTGAAAGGGACCTGACCTCTCAGTGGCT